GAATGTACATAGAGCAAAGGTATTCCTGGGCAGGAAGGACACAGACAAAATGGAAGGATGTTGATTTCCACTAGAAAGGGAAGGAAGAAAGAGAAAAGGATTGGGACTAATACAAAGGGAGAAAAAAATATATATATGAAACATTTAGGGTAAAATATTATCACTTGATACTTGGATTCATGAATACATAGGTATTTATTATATTAATCTATAAACTTTTCAACATTGTTTTTATGATAAACAGACGAATTTTCAACCTTTTATATCAATCATACTTAATCAAGTATTTAATTAATTACAAGTGATATGTGCTGAACTGATAAACCTGTATAAAATATAGTGTAAAGCTTTCTAAAATATATATAAATTAACCAGAACAATACAGCTATCAATGACAGGGCAGGACTATGGAGCCACAAGGTAATAGCTGAGGCACGGGACTCTACGTCTCCACAACAAAAAGGAAGATAAAGAAAAAGCCAAGTCAAGAGTATTCAAAAATACTATAGTAGTAATGAAAGGAGATGACACCTAGTATTAGAGTCTGGGGTGACTGAAACAGGTGGAATTTTTCTAAGTGCTACCAACTAATCATGAAAAAGAAACAAGACACTAAACCAACAAGATACTTTAATGTATGTGAAGTACATGATATTAAATGGAAGCATGAAAAGAACCTATCCAAAGCCCTGGGGTGAGGTAAAATTTAGGTAAGAGACAAGAAGTGGTCTTTCCTACTGACCTGCAAAGACAGATACAAGCAGAAAAGGAGAAGGGGACACTACCATAATGCAAACACTCACACATCCTGCCTTTGTGATAATTCTGTAAAAATTATATCACCCTATTTACTTCTGTATTTGGTTAAACATCTATTGAACAACTGACATCTAATAAATTGCTATTAGCTTTTTTTTTTTTTTTAAAGATTTTTATTGGAGAATTGGGGGGAGGGGAACAGACAAGTTGCTGTCGTTTTGCTCTTCAGTCTAGTTGTGGAGGACATTGCTTCACTGGCCCAAGTTGGCACCATCATTGCGCTCTTCCCGGGCGAGGCACATCAGTCGCCAGCTTCTGGACGACTGCTCACTACGGCTGCTGGCTACATACGGTAGCCCATGGCAACCCACTGCCACAAGGGCTGCAGCCTACGCTGTCGCCGGCAACTCACGGCAGCCCAGCTCCAGGTTGAGCTGTTGTTCAGCATCTTAACTGTGGAGGGCAGTATCACTGGCCCTCATATGTGGGATCCGAACCGGGACCCTCTGGCATCCCAAGCCAGTTCTTAACCATCACGCCACTCACCAGCCCCCTATTAGCTTTAATAAATGTCTACTGAACAAAGATATGTAATAGTCCTGAAAGGTCCCATTTCTAAGTCTCAGAGGATTCTCAGATTACACCATGCCCTCCCTTTAACAAATACAACACAGGAATACAAATATAACTGAAACAGGGAAATAAAAAAGGAACTTTAATGGCCATGTCAATGACAATTCTTGAAGAACAAGCCTAATACAAACATCTCTAACATGGCACAGATCCTCAGCTTGCACATTCAGACACTTCTGAATGTGTAAGTTATCAATAGGAGACATATTTTATATTGAAAATTTGCCATTTTCACAGTCCTACCTTCAGTTTTCTGCTGTAAAACTGCCATCAAATGTTCTATAGCTTCGTCCACATGCAGCCCATGGAGGTCTAAAACATTCTGGGGCAGCAGGGAGGCATTGACTTTCTCAAAGATCTCCATGGCAGCAAGGTGATTGGCTTCTTTCATTTTCTGCTCATGGAGACTACCCTTTAATTATAAACATACCACCAATAAACAGGTGTGATATTTACTACTTACTAGTAGCAATAAGGAAACCAATAATGTCCCAAATTAAACGTAGAACAAAAAAGGGAAAAACAAATCTAAACAATTTTTAAATGCAATGGGCTAATACACAAGAATGCACCAAAACTTAGGTAAATTTCAGTGGATTAATAATATATTAAATCGCAATTTCTAATATATTTTCTTATCCAAAAATCACCAAAAAGGGAACTTAAATAAATATCAGCCATCTCAAGAAGGAATCCACCAGTTGGTTTATCTTTGATGATCCTGAATCTCATCCCTTTCAACACCTTGTAGTTACCCCTGAAGCCATCCCTCAAGGTTTGCTATTAGGGCTCACAGGGTTACACCAGTTTGATACCTTTCTCTGCTCAATCACAAAAAAGTAAGCCACATGGAACCACAAAAATAAAAATTAAATTTCTTGTAATACCATACCAAATGAGCTCCAGTAGAAATTTTACTTCCCTGAAAAATATTAACGTAACTTTATTTTTTTGACTATAAAAGTGATACATTACTAAAAATTCAAACATGATATAAAGCACAAGGCCCCTGTAATCCCACCCTGAGATGGCCAATATTAACATCGTGCTATCTTTCCTCCAGAAAATTTGTATTTGTTTAGAACTGGTATTGAGTGAGAGACTCTAACCTAACCTAAAAGAAATTATGGACCATCAGAACAAACTGCAATTCATGTAAGCCATAAATGCAAAAGCAAACACAGAAATTTTGCGTTTCAAAGTAGGTGAAATTCTCAGAGCCATACATTTCTTATATATTAGGATATCTTATGTCACGTATATAGACTCCATTCCCCAGATTAACTTAATCTGGTCACAACAGGAGTATCATCTGCTTCAAGATTATTCAGACATCATAAGTGACAAAGGAAAAAACGACAATGTTCTCCTCTTTACCTGCTGGGCATAAAACGTGGCAACGTTTTTTTTCCCCATTCGATATGCTTCTTTTGCCTTGCTGTAGCATTCCATCCTCTTCTGTTGGTGCAGGAAAGCTTCTGCCCTGTAATCATCATACTCTGGGTACTCAAAATCCTGAAAGGATGGTTCACTGGGTATTTCTTCAGTCTCTTTTGACTTCTTTGCCTATAAGATATTACACAATAAGTAAAATACAAAGAAAGAAAATAAAGGCTTTACCTTTAGAAAATATATATGCAAACTAGGCTCTCTACTCTTTTTTCATCTTCTCAGAAAACAGAATCTCCCCTAGTAAGTCATGCACTTNTCCCAAGCCAGCTCTTAACCACCGCGCCACTTGGCCGGCCCACAATGCTAATTATTTATGTAACTATTTGTTCACTGTCATCTACCCTACTAAATGGCAAACTCCATAGACAGAGATTGTATTTTTCACTGCCTTATCCTTGATGCCTAGAATATAGAAGATAATCAAATTTATATTAAATGATTTATTCAACCTCCATAGACAAAACTTTCCCTTATAATATTATTACATAAGAGTTTTTCTTTTCTTCAGATTAAATAATGTATTTAAACTGCTCTTAAATTTTCTCTTTTCTAATCTTTATTATTAGTTTTCTAGATTTTTCTCCAAAATTCTTTTTAAAAAACAACTGGGAGACTGGAATCCTCTTCTTTGTCCAAGAATGTCAGCTAATAAACATAGAATGGACACAAATTGTAAAACACCATGTGCAACCACCAGTATAATAATTGATTCAGCCAAAGATCATCAATGAATGCTAAAATCATTAGGCAAAATACTGTAGAACAGTTACTCAGAATCACACAGTAACAATCACCAAAAATTACAAAGGGAGAAAGGTACATTTACATAGAGAAATCTGATAGATTCCACCTTAGTTAAGAAATTAAACTTAACATCACTGATAATGGAGCAAAGTGACCGTATATGTCTCTTGATGTGTTCAACAAGGATGACTTAATATCACCTATGTAGTTATTTTTACCAAGAAAGTTTTAAATTGAATCTAATCATGAGGAAACAATCAGACAAATAAAAGTTGTAGGACAATCTACCAAGCAACTGGCTTGAAGTCCAAAAATGTTGACGACATGGAAGACAAAAAGGCAGAGGAACTAGTTTATATTACAGGAGGCTACAGACATGGACAATCAAGTGGGCTATGTGACATTTGAGCACTCTGGATTGAGGGGGATAAAATGGCACAACATTTCCATACAATGGGAGAAATCTGAATATAGCCTGTATATTATTGTAACAATGATAAATGTCTTAAAAGTGATAATGGGGGCTGGCCGGGTGGCGC